ACTGAAAGAAATGAAAGTGATGCTATATTTTCGTCTGTTTTGCATATTAAACATAGGTAACTTATATTAATTACAGTGATATTTGAATCTTTTAAACCTTTAAATTCTTTTTTTTTGTATACTTTTTGTGTTTTACTAACTTTATTAACTGCAAAATTATTTTTCTAAATAGCACTTTTAGCTTTTCGGTCATTACATATTTTTTGTATATGAGTATATCTCAGTACCTAAATATATAATTAATTTTTAAAAATAATAGCTTTTTGTTTACATGCACATATGTTAATTTTGAAACCTACTTTTTGCAATTTTAGAAAAATTGAATGTATCACATTATCCTTACTTTCCCTTATTATCTTTACTTCCCTCTTCTAGTTTACTTACATTCTTAGCTCTTTCTTTTTCTCTTCAGCCATTTCTTTTGCTTCTCTCCTTTCTGTAGCTTCTCTATGTTCTTTTGGGTTGCCCTTGTTTAAATAGTATCTGTTATCCTTATTTCTTAACATTTCGGCAAAATTTTTGATGCACGATAAATTCCAAATTAGCAAAAGTTATTTAGGTGTATTTTAATATATGTTAACACATCAAAACAAAAAATAAATACATAGGTTGTCATTTTTAATACATCTTTGAATTAAAACCAATATTGCACTACTTTTTTAATAGTTGTATGGGTGTAAATAAAATAGTATACAAACCTGGAGGAAAGTTTTGAACTGGATGAAAGAAACACTTTAACTGTAACTAGCATACTTTATTGAGCGAATGTTACCGAAATTTATGATATAAACACCTCTTTAGAGTTTTAAAATAATCTTTTTGATCCACTAAACGAGAACAGGAACTTTATCTCCACGAACCATATCACATTCCCGAAGGTAACAAACTTGCGCGATATTGACCCATTTACAAGGACCCTGTGTTTATCCACTGCGCTTAAATTTGTCTCTGACATACTGGCCGCGTTCAATGTTATTTTTGAAAAGAAAAGCACTTACACGCGTACACTGGCGCCTTAATAGCCTCCATATACATTTGCTTTACATCTAGAATCGGAGTTCCTGTTTAAATTGTGACACAGTGGGAGATTCTTTCGTTTCGTTCTCTCCTCTTACGATCAGGCAAGGGCGGACAAAAATAGGCTAATACGTTTTCTGGAAAATCAGCTGTGTTATCGTTATATGTGCGGTCTCCTGCAGCGTCTACGATGCGATAAGTCGGAAAATATACACGGTTTTAACGTGAATTGCAGCATTTTTTCTCCTGAAGCTATATTTAACCTTCCCAAATAAACAGTTTCTGGTTTTAGCTTATGTGTTGGCTTCCTAACTGCTTCCACGGTTGTTTTTGAATTTTGTGAAACATCTTAATATTTTTTTAATCATTTATATGATATTTAGATCCTATGGTATTCTGGTTTGTTTATATTCTATTTTATTTACTACTTTCACTATTAATAAAAAAGTAAGCAAAATATTTTTTATTGAAAATGAAAAAACATAGTGAACATGTCAAATTTGCACCATTTCTTGTTCGTTCCTTCGAGTTTATACAGGATGGTCCGAATTAAATTCCGGAAACTTCGGTAGCATATTCTGTACATTAAAATAAGTAAAAAAATTCGTATAAATGTATTACTTAAAAAGCTTAGTTTCGGAGATACAGGGTGTAGAAATTTCAATTTTATTTCGATTTTTTCCAAATAATTTCTGAAGTAGCGTCAATATTTGGATGAAAATTGGTGAGTGGCAGTTTTTTGACATGAGAAATTTGATTTTGAGGTCAATATGACACCTACTTGTAGAAGGCGCCACCTACATATTTTTTGACTGGTTTACAGAGTAATAACTTTTCGTACCTGTATAAAACTACCGAGAAAACTACTGAGTAAAAGAATATACATTTACGACGTTTTTTACGTAGAAAATGTATCTTGGTAAAAATCGTTACGAGTAATGGTTCTCGAGATATTTGGAATAGAAATTATCAATACCTGTCATCATTGACATAAATTAAACATGTTGACTAAATAGTTATTAGACTGAAATCATAAATTTGAAATATTTTTGTGTCAAAAGTTCTGTGCATACAGAAACTGATTTATCAACATTTTTTCGCAGAAAAATTGACGATTAATTAAAAAAAATACAAATTTCTCTAATTTATTTTTTCAGTCAAATAACTATCTACTCAAAATATTTATTTTTTGCCAATAATGACATGTATTGATTATTTCCATTTCAACCAAATATTGACGTTATTTCAGAAATTATTTGGAAAAAATCGAAATAAAAATGCAACTTCTACACCCTGTATCTCTCTGAAACTAAGCATTTTAGGACATATATGTATACCAACTTTTTTACTTATTTTTATGTGCAGAATATGCTGCTAAAGTTTCCGGAATACAGTTCAGACTACCCTGTATAACATAGAAAGTCAAATTGTTGACAGCAAATAATTATGAAAATTATTTTAACATTGCAAGCTCCACCAGAACGAAAAAAAGGTACCAAAAGTGCAGAAGCAAAAGGAATGGAACAAGAAGACGAGTGAATGGTGGATGAAATTACTGATCGATAATGTGAAACTTTAATTTTAAGTCAGTAGTGTCAACATTACATACTCTTCTATAAAAACTATACACACTTATAGGTGCCTTACTCTAGTTTACCATATACACGCTAAGGTTTCAATTTAACTTAATAAAAGTAGTAAACTAAAGTTAAGGCAATTCGTAAACAGGCTCGATTATGTCCGTAACTTTTTCCATTTCGTTTTTAAATATCCGAAAGTTCCTTAATAAGAAAACAAGAAGGCGGGAAATAAAAAAAACACACCGAAGGAGGGAAAACTTCGATAATTACGGGAAAACGTAACGATGAAAAATCCTTAATCAAAAGAAACTCGCCGCACTAATGATGTTTCCCCTATAATGTTTATATTTTCCGTAGTCACTGAGAGCGAGCTCCGCGCCGTAAAAATCTGGTTTAGTTAAATTTGATGATTTTTTTGTAAACAAGTTTAATTGATCTTTAATAGCCCGAGGCGTGTAGTTTGGAAGCACATCATTAAAAAGTCTTTATCGTCCGTTTTACGATAGGCAAGTTCTCGGTCCGTGGGTAATTTTGCTCTTGAGGTTAATGCGGCAAAGAAGGATTTTAGGTTTACGTGACCGGGATATTACAAAACAAGTCTGCCTTCGCTCACCTTTTTTTAAGTGTATTACTTTCGATTCAACGTAAAGGGTGGTCAAATTATAGAGGATGCTGGCTGTAGACTGGGATCCTTTACTCATAGAACTTAAGGAAAATAATATAGGTAAATCGGTCAAGAGAAACTGCTATCAATAAAATTAAGAGTTCGAAATTTGGTTCGCTGTTATACCACCTAGAAGCCAAACTGAAAATTCAATGTTTTCTTTAATCAACTCTATAGAAGGATTATTATTAATTATTAAAGGATTAAGGACTAGTGCATAAAATATGGTCCGTCTTTAAATTAAGATTTAATTATATTATCGTTTTAATTATATTATTGACACTGAGTAATTGATGCTAAGTTTTTTTATTATATTGATACTGAGAATCAAGTTATTCAAGGTATAGTTGGGGTTATTGAGATGTATTTAAAGTGTGCATCAACTTTCCTTATTAAGTTCATGCAACGTGACTCAATCAAAACATTTTCAATCTCGCGATTCTCGGTGGTCCGAAATGAATCTATCAACCGAATCAAGCGTAAGCTTTTTATATACTGCAATTAGTCGCCATTAAAGGTGATGTAAAAATTATCTCGTCCACACTCTACCACAGAACAAAAGAATAAAAAAAAACATCTGGAAGATATTTTATTAAAAATTATTTATTTACAAATACATAATATGTAATATTGATAATACCGATTTTTGAAAATTTTGATAGGAATATTTTTACATCAATATCATATTATGTACCTATTGTTCTTTCTTACTTGTTCTTTTCTTCCAAGCTGATTCTGTATCTATAATTATCGTCATAGTATTGAAAGTATTATTCCTCTATCTAAAAAAATCTAACATTTTACTTTCCTTTTTCATTTTTGTCATCCATTTCCTTTTCTTATTTTTATTACATTTTTCTATTTCTGATCTCTGTGCATATTTTTTAAAATCTGGTGAGGTAGCAATGTTATAGAGTCTTTGTTATCTTTACTTCCTAACAACATTTTAACTATGATATATCTATGATACACCAATTCAAACGAATACAAAACAAAAAATCGTTCGCACATCAAAACAAAAAATGAGAAAATTTGGTATTTTTCTTACAACATGAAATATTGTATCTACTTTATGATTAATGGTGTAGTTATAAATAAAATAAGAATACATACCTTGGAGCAAAGCAACTGTATTTTTTGCAAAAACTTCGAAAAATGAGATATATATTCTAGGAAAATTTATATCATCATCAATTGAGTTAAGACTTTCAAGTTCATAATCGTAAGAGTTGATTAATTGTATAAACCTAAACTGTATTAACTATTCTTTTTGTAATTTTATTACTAAAACATGTTTTACATATGGAATCGAAACGTGCTAGCGCCGTACACACGTATCTTAATTAATAAAATAAAAACGCTAAATGCGTGTACGAGTCACACCTATCCTTGGAAAACCGATCGCAGAAAACAAGTTTCGAGTTTCCGGGCTTGCGTAAAGCGGTGCCATAGTCGTGAAAGGACAGAAACCTTATTTAGGATGTATTGTTTAAATGTCCATGTTTCGTTCTTTGATAAATAAATAATAGGCACGCTATAAAAAGCTGTTGATGCAAAACCAGCTGGTCACGACATATTTATACGATTATTTTAATTAGACTCGTATATATATATGGAATAAAAAAAATCCAAATCAAGTTTTTGCCTCGTTTTGTTCGAATAAAAAGTAAAGCGTATTAATATAAATTTTATATCTCCGAAGGACATTATGATTAATGATATGTTCTTTTTTGTTACAGACTAAGAAAAACAACCCCAATCATATCAAGAGGCCTATGAATGCTTTCATGGTGTGGTCCCAGATAGAACGTAGAAAAATATGCGAGGTATCACCAGACATGCACAATGCGGAGATATCGAAGAATCTGGGAAAGCGCTGGAAACTTTTGAACGACGAACAGAGGAAACCCTTTATCGAGGAAGCAGAGAGATTACGCCAATTGCATCAGAAGGAATATCCAGACTACAAATACCGCCCCAGGAAGAAAACAGCCAAACCCGCCGCCAAATCCACATCAAAGAAGTCCTCAAAACGCACCAAATCAAAGAGAAACGACACAAACAACAACGATTCGTTGTTGAAAGATAAAATCTATTCCAGACGTCATGCGGTTCCGGAATCGGTGGCCTCTAAACTGAAGGGCCGGCTTCAGCTGGACGCCGAGCCCAAGATGGAACGCGTAGAACCAATGGATATCGGATACGATCAGATCAGGCAAGGCATTCCCACCACCACGACGCAGTTGCCACCCATTAGTTTTTTAGCCAAAGTACCCTCAAGCCCTTCATGCGACACGCCAGATTCTCCCGAAAGTGCCACCATCTACGAGGATTCTTGGGTAAACCTAGTAAAAGAAGAACCCGACGACAGGCTTACAGTAACGCACATCGGTACCGGTCTGGACGACTTGGAAAATATCGAGCTGTTACCTATGGGAGCCATCGACTTGGAGGAACTAGCCGATATCGACTCCAGTTTTGACACAGCGTCCAATAGTTCAGCGTCACACCTAGACTTTACCTGTCCTAGGGACATCCCTATATTCTCAAATATTGACAGTGCCTGGCCCGAGGGATTCATAAATTGTTGAAGGAGAAAAATAGACTGTCGGTTGGCATATTAGCGTAAACACACTTAAACCTGGTAATGGCGAATTAAATGCCCAGTCCAGTCGTCGTAGTTTGTCGCGGAATTGTTGTTCTATAGTCGACACTTGAAGCTACTGCGACAACAATACTATTATATAATATTTAACCCCAATTTGATCTCATTTTGTTTTTATTATTTTTTATATTTATAACAAAAGCGGTCATTGTTTAAGTTCACCATTCGTCTCTATATTCTACCCGTTCTTAGTGCCTAGCTCATCAAACTTGGCCGGCCCACTCCGGCGCTCTAGTTTAGACAGATTTAAATCTCCGTCGAACGCGATGGAACACAAAATCAGGCTGTGATTCAATAATTTGATGACCAATTTAGTTATCAAATTCAAAAAGTCCGTTTTATGTAGTCTCTGACAGGTGCTGCTGCTTTTTTTTTCAAATTGCTAACAAGTCACATAGTACGTTCAATTCCTTTTTCACAGTCTGAAAAAGTTGGGTTCTCGTTGTTTTCGTTTTTCTCGTTTTACAGATGAAAGCTAGGACAACAAGAATCGAAGCTTTTTTGACGACTATAAACAGTAATCATGCAACCGTGTCAAACGATTTCATGGCACTTAACACACTCGAGGTTCTCAGAAATTTTGTTTTGGACGTTGATTTTTCAGATCTAAAGAATTAAGTACTTAATACGTCGAGTAACTTAAAGAGGGTATGAGATAAGTAAAGGCAATTGCATAGTCGGGTATTTTTGGATATAGAACTTAGTGTTGTATAAGCATAAGGTTACGTCTGTTCGAGATTGATTGTATTTCGGTGGCAATTTTTTCAATAATCATAATATTTTGGTGGCCAATACTAGCATTAATTAATATAATCTGCATTTTTTGCTATTCAAAGTAAATGTCCACTTGAAATAAATAAACTGCTGTTTTCCCAAGTCCAAATAAATCTACCGTAATATTTTCTAAGGTAAATAACATTGTCAATTTAAAACGATGCAGATATTATTAATGTTAGTGTTGTGTATCAAAACCGAAAATTATTCATTGTTATGCACGCTCTTGTCTGTTGTAAATACTAATTTCTTCATGTTCCTCCTACCCGTCAACGAGCTTTTAGAAACAAATCTGTCCAGTTCTGAAGTTCACCTTAGTGAACTTTAAGACCCGTACATATTTGTCGTAAAAGTTCCGTAAAAGGCTAATTCTATTATACGCTTACCTCTTTTTAGTTGATTCTCGACAAGTCAATGCACAAACTAAATTTTAAGGAAATAGTATTTAACATTTTGAAATTTATATAGAGTAGAAATCAACATCGATATTCTTATATCTATGATATTATAAGGGCGCGAGCCGTGCGTCATACATGTGCTTTCAATGTGTTAGAATTTACATTTACCACGGCACATATAAAACGATGGATTCTTGTAATTTTTCAGGCGTTCTAAAATCATATACAGGGTTGATCACCACTTACGACACGTAGTATTGTAGCTAAACGATTAGATTTTTACAAATTGTAAGTTTTAGGTTCGTTGAAGGACTATTAGAGCTATACAATTTAAAACTATTTTACACGATACAGGGTGTCCCAAATAAATAAAAAATATCAAAGTTGTATTTTTTAAATAGAACACCCTGTATATTATTACATTTTTAGCTTCTACGATTAAAATAAAGGTACATTTGATACAAACTTTACCTTTTTTGAAATATTTTCAATTTTGTGAAATTGCAGTAAAAATGTTAAAGCTTTATTTCTCCAAAGTTTTTAATGCCTACCAAATATTTACTGAAGTTTATTTATTGATCAGTTACTGTGCTGCAATAATAAAAATAAGACTACCTCATACACAGTATCTAATTTTTTTTAAATAATTTCTAGCTATTGCAACGGCAATAACTTGTTTAATTTAAACAGAACGCCCTGTATATTTTAGGGGAATCAGATGCACAATTAAATTGTCTATAAATTGTTTTATACCGTTTTGAACCTATCTCTTCAACTTTTTGTAGAAAATGCATTTTCTTATAATTTAGACCTCCATTTATCAATATACCCATGAGATATTGACATGAATACAATCTGATAAGACAATTAAATTGTCCATCTGATTCTCATAAAATATACAGGGTGTTCCATTTAAATTAAACATGTATTGCCGTTTACAGCACTAGTAATTATTTGAAATAAATTCTTAGACACTCTGTATAAGGTAGTGTAATTATTATTATCGCAACACAAAATTTAATAAATAGAAATACTTCAGTACAATATTTGGTTTTAAAAACTTAAAAAAGAGAAATGAAGCATTAAAATTATTACTGTATTTTGACAAAAACCCAAATATTTCAAAAACGGTAAGGTTTAAGTGTGATAAACCTTAATCAAATTTACTTTTATTTTAATCGTAGAAACTAAAAATGTAATAATATAAAGGGAGTTATTGTCTTTTGTGTATTATATATTTATTTGTGACACTCTGTATCTTGTAAAAATATTTTTAAATTGTAGCTCTAATAGTCCTCCAACGAATCGAAAACTTACAATTTGCAAAAATCCAATCGATTAGCTACAATACTCTGTGTCGTATGTGGTGAACAACCCTGTATAATTTTCTCATACAAAAAATACATATTGAACAACCAGTAAACAAGCTTGTTTTGATTATCAAAGTAAATGGATACATATAGGTATATGTTACAACCTTGTGTCAATTGGGTATCCTTAGAACGTCGTTTTATTCACTAAGCCGTATTTGTGCTGATAAGAGGTTATATACTATAATAATAATAATAATATGAATAATAAAAGAAAAATTAGATCGACTGTCCCTATATTTGTAAGAGTTTTCGAATTTTAAAATTTTATGAGGCCTGGAACAGTATGAAATTGTAGAGAATAAACATTCGGTGTATTTTTGTACCCAATACTATGTTATTGTATACGGTACATTTGCAGAATGCCCAAAACGTTTGCTGACTGATTTAGAATGTAGGTTTCTTTGAGCCGTTTGTGCTTACAAATCAAAGCCGTAGAGCTAGTCAATGGGACTGCTGATTCTCATTGAAACTGTTCGAAGACTATGGTTGGACGCGGTGTTGCAATCTTGCAACGATTTAACTGAACCAGAACAACGAAGCGTGCGACACCGCGTTAAGGTTAAACGACAATGAACTTTGTTGCAAGACTCTAATAAAATGCTAAATCACATCGAAACGATACTTGAATTATTGGTTGATCTGTTTTTCTTTCTGTTTGATCTCAAAGGGCTTAAAGGATGGAGTGGTCAATCTCCGTGTATGGTAGCTTAGATTTTAGAATGTGGCTAATGGTTAGATATAAGAAGTATAAAAACTGTGTATATCCTCTGAAAAGCGAATTTATTAAATTATAAACGTATGCCTTTTATATAAGATTTATTATTTATTTCAAAATAAAATATGGCCCACTGGCTAGCTCAAAATTTTCACATTTTATGATGCTCTTGTTTTTGTTTTGTTCGACTGTAGTTTTGGGTGGTCCGTCTGCAAATGCACTGTCAATTTGTATATATAATGTAAAAATTGCTCATATGTAAAAATTGTTTTTGTTGAAAATGTTATGAGATAGGTTTGATTATTGCAATAATTTTGCGAAAACCGAAAGGGAATCATTAACTTTGAAAGAATTTTTGAGTCCGTCGCACTTGTAAAGTTTTTAGACGGAGGTAGTTTCCAACAAAATGATTGGAAAAATTGAACAGAAATTGGCAAAATTAAAACACAGAAAAAGGTTTGTTATTGATTTTTCGCATTGTTAAATTTTTTCTTATTGGTGAACGAAATAAGAGATTACGATTTTAGCAATATTTTTGCATAATGTATAATAAGTCTTTGCATTTTGTAAATCGATATGTATTATATTCATATTAAACTATATTACAGTTATGATAGTGTGTAAATTTTGTATTGTAGTTGCTGTTAAATATATTATTATATGGCTAATAAATTGATTTTCCAATTTAACCAGCTACGTTATTTTATTTCCTAATCTCCTTTTTTCATTTAAGTAACTTAATTACTTTAATCAACATAAGAAATAATTTGAAAACTTCAGATGTATGTCAAACAATTCATTAAACTTAAATAATTTTCTTTTGACTAATTAAGAAATTCACTAAAATTTAAATGTTTATTAATATAAAATTCAAATTAACCAATAAAATTATTGCAGAATTATAAAAAATTCTAGATTTTATGCATTATTTATTCTTAATTTTAATATATCAATTATGTATCCATGAAGTGTTTATATAGACACAATTTTTTGGAAATTATGAAGTTTCTTAAAATTTATTGTTTTCTTAAAAATTGAAATAAAAAAAAATATGATGAATAGAAATAAAATTTTTGTATTTTGGAAGTTTGATAGAAAAAGAATATAATACAAAGAAATATTAATTAATATATTAATATTTGATTAAAAATAGACTAAATATATTAATATAAGTTTTGTGACACACCTACAAAACCATTTGCACCCATAATGGTTTACATAAGGCCCTAAGAAGGTACGTATCAATACAAAAATAAATTCTATTCATATTTTAAGTAATACCAAATCATATTTTTGTAATTAATACACTACTTGATATTACAATTTAACCACGATTACTGATGTAACGAATATTCCTATATGTTTTGAGAGATTTGGAAAATTTATGCGAATATCAACGATCGCAAAAATATACAAAATATGTATACCATAAATTAAACATAAATTTCGTATAATTTTTATTAAAAACGGTTGCTCATTGTAACTTAATATATTAGACTTAGAATTACATAGTTGTAATCAGCCTTCTCTTTAACATTTGGTATTGGTTTGGTACTTTATTTACTTGTTTCTGAGGGCTATAATTTTTATTAATTAGGTACAAACACTTAGATAAACACTTATTTAGAGTATTACTGACACATATCATAGACAGATAAAATTGTTTTAAAACATGTCAGATATAAAAAAATTAAAAAAATAAGACAATGATTTTCTTTAGAATTTGTTTGTATTATAAAAATTCCTACTCGGCTTTTTAAAAATATAGGTAAGATAATAAGCCATTTTAAAATTATTTTTATTTTACAAAAATTAATTTATTTGGAACTACATTAAGGAACTAACATTAAGAATACAGGGTGGCGCATATCATTCGCCTCGGTTGATTATACGAAAACGGAAAGATGTAGAAAGAAAATATTTTATGGGTATATGTAGAGAGGCAATGCGCATAATTTAAAATTATTTTTGAATGTACAGGGTGTGTCAGAACTAAGATCCATACCAAAGTTATATTTTTTCTTATGGAACACCCGGTATTTTATTTCATATTTGGATTCTTGGGCATAAAATAAGGCATTTATTATATGGGTTTAATATGTCTAAAAGCTTTGGTTTTTGAGATATTTAAAGATATTTAAATATGCATGCTATAATAAAAAGGTTTGTCAACACTTTGTACATTACTTTTCAGAATTAATTCCGGTGCTGACTTTCAAGCCAGAGAAAT